GAGGGATAAAGCCAAGGATTGGTTCCAGTCACTACTGTATGATTCTATTACTACTTGGGATGACTTAGCTCAGAAATTCCTCACCAAGTACTTCCACATTCCAAGTTAGCTCAACTTAAGAGTGAAATTGGTCAATTTAGACAATCTGACTTCGATCCATTTTATGAAGCGTGAAAGAAATGCAAAGACCTGCTCAGAAGGTGTCCTCAACATGGTTTTCAGAATTAGATGTAGATTGAGATCTATTACAATAGGTTAAATGGGCAAACAAGAACCATAGTGGATGCGGCTGCAGAAGGTATTTTAATGGCTAAAACAACAAATGTTGCATATGTACTATTGGATGACATAGCTACAAACAGTTACCAATGGCCGAATGAGAAGACAGATTCAATTATGGCTTATTCTGCAGCACAACAGGAGACAGAAATAACGAATGAGCAGGCTCAGTATGTCAACAGCAAAAATTACAATCAGAGAGGAAACTACTATTCCAATCACTACCATCCAGGGCTTCGGAATCACGAGAATCTGTCATATAGTAATAACATGAATGTACTTCAACCTCCTCATGGGTTCAACACTCAACAATTGAAAGGAAAAATATATTTAGAAGACCTCCTGGGGACTTTTATTTCTGAGACGAGATCGCGGTTCACCAAAGATGAATCACGCTTGGATAATATTAAGACTCGTATAACTAATATGGAAGCTACAATGAAGAATCTTGAAGTTCAGATTGGTCAGTTGGCTATATCAATGAAGTCTTAACAACAATGGAAGTTTCCAAGTGATATAGAGGTGAATCCAAAAGAACATTGCAAAGCTATTACTTTGAGGAGTGGCAAGGAAGTTGGAGAGAACATGCCTATAGTGACATCCTCTACACCTGATCAGAGTGAAGAACAGACAGTTGCAGAACAAGAGAATCGGGTCGACCAAATAAAGTAGGACTACAAGCCTAACTCTATATCATCCCCTGATAACCCACCAATCATCAAGCCAACATTTCCGTTTCCATAGAGATTCCAGAAAAAGAAGTTTGATACACAGTTTGCCAAGTTCTTAGATATTTTCAAGAGAATTCATATTAATATCCCATTTGCAGATGCTTTGGAACATATGCCAAACTATTCTAAGTTCATGAAAGAGGTAATTTCGAAGAAGAAAAAACTGGAAGAATATGAGACGGTGAAGTTGACAAAGGAATATAGTGCTATTCTTAAAAGAAGCTCCTAGGAAAGGAAAAGATCCGGGCAGCTTCATTATTCTATAAACCATTGGAGGCTCCTCTTTTGATAAAGTGCTTTATAACTTTGGAGTAAGTATCAACTTGATGCCCTTGTCAGTATTCAAGAAGTTAGGCCTTGGGGAGGTAAAACCAACAACGGTTATTCTACAACTATCTGACAGGTCACTCACATACCCACGAGGGATTATTGAAGATGTTTTAGTGAAGGTTGATAAATTCATCTTCCCAACTGACTTCGTGGTATTGATATGGAATAAGATTAGGAGATTCCATTGATTTGGGTAGGCCATTCTTAACAACAGGAAGAACCCTAATCGATGTACAAGGCGGGCAGCTGACTTTGAGAGTGAATGAATAAGAAGTGATGTTCAATATCTACCAAGTAATGAGATTTTCGGATGACACTGATACTTGCCATACAATTAGACACTTGATAATGAGTTAGCAACTTAATTGATTCCTGGAGGTTGATGCAGTCAAAAATAAGAAGAATCTTTATTTGTTGATATGTGAACTGCAATCAGTAACATTTACCCAGACAAGAGAGGACAAGGAATAGCGATTTTAAAACTAATCTCAGATTACGCCCTGGGAAAAAGAGTTAAAAGAAATTAAGTTTGGGGGTGTGTGAATCTCACGAGCAGAGAAAGAAAATAATTGACTCTTAAGGTCGGGAATTGAATCGACTTATAACTGCACAACGCTGTATTTGATTCCGCACACATACGCACACACATTTTGCATTGGAAAGACAAGAATTTGACTTTTGTACTATAACTTTGAAGTGATTCATGAATTCAATATTACATCTTCAATGCTATGCCATAAAAACAAGCTATCCAGCTAAATATGTATTTGAATCTTTTGGTGATGTGTTTTATTTGTATGTTTGTGAGTCTTATTTGCCTGTGTTTGCTCGATGACAAGCAAAGAATTAAGTTTGGAGGTGTTTGATGAGTGTAAAATCACTAATTGAAATAATACATTTAAAACATATTTTCCGGCTTGCTCTTGAGCACTTTTGAGTATCTTGATGTGTTTGTTCATGTTTTTTTGTAGTTTAGGTAAATTGGAGAAAATTGCGCATATTGGAGCTTGGGATGGAGCCACATATTGATCATAGAATTGGACTTGAAGAGGAGGTGAAAGAAGAAGAAAATGAAGTGAAAAAGAGGCGAAAATGAAGGCAAATAAATAAACACGGAAAGCTGGGCGCAACGGCGCCATAAGTGGGCGCCTAGGCCCCAAAATACTGTAAAGAGCTAGGCGTCGTGGCACTAGCTCCTAGGCGCTGCATGGAAAAAACCAACAAAAGACGCAGCGCTGCGGCGCCGCTTCCCGAAAATAAGGAAACCAAGTTTTTTATAATTTTTTCGGGGCCCGGTCCAACTTCAATTCGTCTTGATACTTTAGGAGGGTATAAATACAAGTTGAAAGACCTATTTCTAGGGGAGGATGGGTTGAGAGGCAAAGGGGAATTCAACACAATTTTTCAAGAAGGCAAGGAGGAAAAACATCAAGAGATTCAATAACAAGACAAGAGAAGAAATGGGAGATTTACATCCTAGTATTTCTATTCTCTTCCCTATGTCTTTTTATATGAATTTAAGGGTGTGTTTGAGTTACATTATTTTGAAAGAATGTATTTTGAAATGTTAGATTGATGGAAAATGTGTGGTTGAAAATAAAGGAAAAATTATTGATGTGATGAAAATATTATTTTATTGAAAAATGTGTGGTTGAAAATAAGTAGAAAGATGAGAATGAAAATTGTAATATGGCTCAAACAGGGGGCTTAGTATTTTCATAGATTACATCATGAGCTAAATTCATTATCTAGGATTTGATTGTACCCAAAAACTTGAAAATATGAATCGATTCATTTTAGTTATTTCTATTAGATTTTCTGCATGTGTTTATTTGTGTTATGATTTTAATGCTTTCAATTAATTGACCACAAATTGAATGATTTGATGTTAGTCAATTTCGACACTCGAGAGAGAGGAGTTTAGGCGTGATCATAAGAATTGCACAACATAGGAAATTATAGGTTTCGAGAGAAAGTATGATTTCTTTGAAACATGTTCCATTTTAAAATCACGAACTTGATAAATTCTATATTTTAATTCGGAATAGAGATATTTAAATTAAAATATAGGAATAGTTTTTACTCGATACTTGAGAGATGAAGTAAAATTACGTTAGGGTTCTTACTTATAAACTTTAGAAAATTGATTAGAAATAATTTTATAATTGAGAATCATATTTGATAGTTAGGTGAAATCATAACCTTGTGCTTTCTCACTTGATTATTCTTCTAGCTTGCATTTATTTGTTGAATTCATCACCATATTAGGTTAAAATATTGATTATAATATTCATTTATCTAGATAAAATAGAGGCTATATAATTGGAGTACTTAGTAAAAATATCTATTACAATCCATGTGAGTTTGACACTTTAACTCCATTATTATATTACAAAACTTGATGCAGGACACTTGCGGTATAAATCACGTTATAGAAAATGCGTGACACCCTATTTATATTTTCATATGTATTCAGCCCATTATCAAATACAGTAACATTAATGGATACGGTCTCTACACATATTTGGCCCACGCTTTATTTAGATGCTCAAAATCCAACAACTTTAATTTTTTTATTAGATCACTTTAATTGAGCTTAACTTTAAGATAGTTTTTATACACAATTAATTATATATGTAGGCTCGATTTCCCACAGTTTGGGGGAGAAAGACCTAGAGAATAGCTGACGGAAGCCAGAAAATACTTCCAACTCCATTAGATTTATGATGAACCGAGGCTAGAAATGGTTGAGAAGTACTTGAAGGGGAAGGCAAATATATGGTTTTATGGATTCATTACCAATCACCCTGGAGCGGACTGGAGCTTGTTTTTTGATGAGCTTTGCAGGAGGTTTTCAAAAACAATTGAGGAAGAAGTAATTGAATCATTTAGCAAGACAAGGCCTCTGGGAACAACGTCAGAACATCAGGAGAGTGAGGAGTCTGACCTTGAAAAGATACAAGGAGGTGAAGAAGTCATGGAGGTATCAATCGATGCTTTAGTTGGAAGTCCGAAGCACAAAACTATTATAGTGCTTGGGATGATTAAAGGAAGAAGAGTGTCCATATTGACTGATAGTGGAAGAACCCACAGTTTCACTTAGGAAAAACTAGCTAAGGAGTTGAAATAAGCCATTGATGAAACTAACAAGGTGACAATTAAGGTAGCAAATGGGGAAAAACTAGAAATTAAAGCCTTGGGTTACCCAGTCAATTCAAACTTAGGACACTTAAGCTATCAGGGAGTGACATGGTACTACCATTATCTATATGTAGCACATCCATAAGTGATAGAATAATTTCCAAATCCAAACTGATCTTAAAACAATTTTTCCATTTTGGTTTCTACATAATATTCCTAACTCGAAAGAGTAACGAGTAAGAATATTAAGTGAGTATAATGAATTACATAACAGTTTTCATACAGAATACATCATCAAGTGTACCACCATTATGTATATGTAGCACAATCGTAAGCGATAGAATAATATCGTCACCGATTTACTTATCCAAGGTGACAAGCGAATGTCTCAGCAAACACACCAGATTAAATAGCCCATTCAGAAAAAATAAATAAATAAATCTGATAACAGTGAGAAGATCTTCACCGTTGGGAACAAGGGAAGTGCGGGTGATGGTGGACAGCTGTTTACAAGCATCGATGCTTTTTAGCACGGCTTCGTCGAGGTCGGAGAGATGTCGGTGCCCTTCTTTCAGCATTCCCCATATTCCATACGGTTGCATCAAGAACCCTACCATTTTCAGTTTAGATGCAAGGAGAGAGTTATCAAATTCCTTCAGAAAACGAGGACAAGAAGAAGGAAACCAGAGAAAAAGCCGTAAAAGTTTAAAACCCTTGTTGTCTCTTCCTCTTTCTATTCTGCTTTTAGTAAGCCCTAGAATTCGAAACAATCCTGTAATTCCTCCTGCGGTACCCCAACCCTTTCAAAATTGTGGAATTTATACCACAACCGTTCATTTATGATACTCATGTCCTTAATCTTTTAAGAGGTGTCATCGATGGATGGATTTTTAAAAAAAATTCTAAATTCGAGTGTTCTCATTTGGGGTAATTAGCACAAAATGTTCAAATCTTTAACTGTTACTGTGCAAAATGTCCATACCTTTTATTTTTTGACACTTTCACCATTGATTACACATTTGATTGTGCAAAATGCCATTCCGTCTATTTTCATCCAACTTTTTCCATTAAGTGACTACGTATAGTCAATTTTTTTTTTAATGGAAGGGCATTATCATCTTCAAAATGTAGCAATAGTCCTTCCCCATTTACCCCATCATCTTCTTTGTCAAGCTGCGTTTTACGTCGCCTATGACCCCGTGTCCACCTTGTCTATGTCCAATTCTTTCTTTTTTTCTTTTATCTAAGTCTTCGGGTCTGGGTTTCCTAATAACTTATCATTTTCTGCTGGGTTGGTGACGTGTTATTACCTCCATAGGTGAAGGGCAGTTCTAGAGAGTTTATCAAGAAACACGGGAAAGCACTGAAGTTTGATTATGTTTCAGAAAATCTGTATCATTGGATATAAATAGAAAGGAAAGGCGAGTGTTCCCATCTTTCTGCCTGCACAATTTGGTATCATAATCATTGAGACGTGGGTGGAGTATCAATTTTCCAAAATTTGTTAACTGAATAATCCTTTTTCTGTTCCTAAGTTCCAAAATGGTCTTAGTGATTGTATTTTGTTTCGATTTTCTCAGTTCTCCCTCTTAGTGGTCCATTCTTGTGTTGTTATCAGGCACTTGAAGAAGCCATAAATGTCTTCTACCACTATATATATGAAGGCAGTGTTGACATAGACTCTGTGGCTGATCCTGCAACTATTCTGGTTGCTTGTATTTCTGTGGAGGCTATATCGATTTTGAAAAACTACACTTGAAGGGGAAAACCCACTTGATCAATGATTTTACCATTACCTATTTTCTGCAAATTTGTGATTAATTTTTAAGATTATCATGCTTACCTCATTGGTTGTCGTGCTGTTTCTAATTGATGGCCATTACTTATCCATCGCTTATCTAGGTTTGTGCACGGAGATGTGAAACTAGAAAAAATTTTACTCGGTCAACCTCGATCTGTTGATGAGAAGAAGCTGTATCTCATTGATCTTGGTTTGGTTATGATGCTCCCACATTAATTTCCTTGTTAATCAGTACAAACCTAACTTAGTTTGTCGACGTCCAGTCATCTTGGTCTGAGTCACTGGCTTATACACTTATATTTCTCATCAAGGGAAGGTTACCATGGCAAGGGTATAGGTGAGTTGGCATCATTGCTTTATGAATTTTTTTTTGTTGTGATTTTGTTTTAGATGATAAATTTTTAAAAATGATATCATCGTTCATGTTTTGGATGATAGCAGGGTTGAAAAGGGAGCTTGCCATGATTCGAATCAATTCAGGAATGTATTGAAGAAGATGATGAATCAGCGAGAGAACCTTAGCTCTGATACCATATGAAATTCCTAAATTAAGGATCACAGCTTCATCAAGAAGCTGGAATTAAATGCCATAAAAGAACAATGAAAGAGAAGAATAGAGAAGAAAAACAGATAAGATAGAAAAAGAAGAACTCTAATTTTATTGAACGAATTTACAGATTACATCTTCAAGTACTTATAGGCTATACAACAACCGTATCAACTGCCTAACAGTTTCTAACTACACCTAACTGTATCTTTGCTGTATTTAACTAATCTTCCATGTCAGCATAACTGTATTAACTATCTTTTGTCAGCTGCAACTAATTTTGTGTCATAAGACTGATATCCTTTTTTGAAAGACTTTAATATTTTAAATTTTCTGTAACTGGTTGGGCAAAAATGTGGGAAACTGCACATTAATTTGGAAGATGATGAACAACCAAAGAAGAAAATACAATTGGATAGTCCTGCTACCCAATGGATTTCAATGTATAATGCACGTCTCCCCATGAAACAAAGGTGAGTGACTTCTTGCTACATGTTTTCTTGGTTTGATATCTCAGCTTGTTTTGTGATACATGAAATATTATGGTTGTGCGTATGTGCTTTAAAAATATGTTTGCTTCTATCATCCTGTTATACTTTTCCATCCCAGTTCACATGCTGGGGTATGTCTTTCTGATGAATAATTTTATGGGTCATTATTATCCGTTTGCAATCGAGGAAAGGATTCAGGTTAAGATAAGATGTTTGAGTTGTTGGGTTAGGACGTTGTGATTATGTTAATTGCTGATTTATATGGATCAAAATTGTTATTGATTATTCATTGGCTTTGTCTCTCCATGGCTCGTGTATAATGCTAGCGAATTGCAGTACCTATTTCACCGATACAATTGCAAAAAAATTGGACAAGAATGAGGCTTAAAAAATTTTAATGTACATTTTCATCTGTAGCTCTTGTTGTATACATTTTTTGTTTATTTTTTTGCTTAAATATTGGCAGTTTCCATTTCGTTTATGTTTTCCTTTTCTATTCTTGTACTTCGTTGAAGTAATAATTCTTCTAGGTTAGTGTTTGGATGAGTTTTGGTGCCTTTGTGTCACATATTACGAGGTTTTTGTTTCACTTCTGTTTCGCTCAACAACAGCAGCAATCCTCCATCCCCACACCAATATGCCTTAGTCTACATTGTTTTGCTTGACCTTGTTTTAGTTTTGTTTGTTGGATTTGTGGATCATTGGTCAATGCAAGGATATTTGGTCAGGTAGCTCAGAAGTATGAGTTGGCCAAGATGCAGGGAATTTCTTGGACATGCATGCATGGTGTTTTCTATGTTTGACTATTTTCAGTTGCAGATGATTAATCCTATCCCATGTTTTTTTCATAATCACCACCAAAAATTTGACATTGTTGGTTGAAAATAAAATATTTCCAAATATTAACTATCCTTAGTAGAATGTATTCGATTATTTATCATGTTTTCCCTGTTTTAGCTAACTTTTTTCCTCATTGGAATTCACACAATGGAAGCAATGATAACAACAAAGGCATTAAGAATAGAAAAACGATGCGGAAAGTTAGACGATTGATAGAAGATTACAAAGAATAGATGATTTCTTTATTATTTTTATTATTTTATAAATCTCGAACTTCTAGAGTATGCCATTATGGTTTTATTTTCTGTTGAGATGGGAGGATTTAAGTGCTTGTATGAGATTTTTTGAAAAAATGTATTTTTTTGAGAATACGTGGTTAAAAAGTAAAGAAAATATATGGCGAAACGTGAAAATGATTATTTTTTGGAGAATATGTTGTTCAAAATGAGTTTGTAGAAAAGTGATTTTCAAATAATCACTTTCAAACAAGCACTAAGTTGGTAATTTTTGAGTACCTGTGAATATTATCGAGGCCAAGCGGGAATAACTTTATAGTTTAGTTTTTCATCATAGCTTTGATTTGGTTTCAAGGCATGTTCATTGCTACAAATTTAAGGGCATTTCTTTTCCAATTCATAATTTTATTTTAGGATAGCTATTAATTGAAAGCTCGGTGCATTTTTTAAAATCTTGGTACACTTGGTGTGTATTTAGTATAGTACAAAATGGTTTCGATTTTTTTTATGCTAGTATTATTTTATGATTGGCTTTCTTCCTATAGCTACGTGGCCTCAACGACAAATCTGTGGGCCCTAATGATGGATGCAAGAACAGGTTTTACTTCGCAGGTGTATGAGCTTTCAGCTGTATTTCTTCACAACGTCATTTTCTACTATTTCACGTTTTAGTTTCACATGGTCTATTTCCTCTCAAAATATTGAAGACCCCTTTTCCCCACAACTTGCTAAATGTATTTATTTTATACACAACTCTGACAGACTACATGAAATTTTTTTATTTTTTTTTCCCTATATTAATCATCGAAAGACGAATAACCTTAGCTTCTGGCACTAATTATGGAGTGCAAACAACTATCACAACACAATTTCAACAAAATGATAAACCTAGAAAAACTTGTGATGTTCAATAAACATGCACACGTTTGTCCCACAAAATATATAAAAAACAATACAAGACATCTTGGCATCGTATTCTACGACTTGCTAAAGAAAAATCCCATGGAGATGAAAATCAGCTGAAGAGTAAAAACTCTTTTAGGGTCTAAAGTTCTAAAAGGTATACACACCCAATACTTGCTACAGATTTTTCAAAATAATTCCTCCACCGCATGAAATGGCACTAGAAAGAAAGAAAAAGTCAAAACAGTTGAATCGTATCAGTCCAAGGGGACACTGTATATGCAAGATCTCAAGCATATATGTTGCCAACATAGCCTTAATCCTCATCCATCCCTGCACCAGCTGGTGGATCTCTCCTTGGACCACCAGCGGGTTTTGCCATTATAATCTGCAGCAGCAACAAAAACAAATTAGCAAGAAATGGAATAAAAAAAGAATTCCATAGGCCAATGTTTAAGAAAAAAGGCAGAGAACAAAGGAATAAAAGAAGTAAATAAAGATATCATTTTCGTATGCAGGATAGTTGAAATGTAATGAAACAAGTAATGCATACTTAGATCATCGAACTACAATCACATTCTTACCACTAGTGATGCTTTCTTCATTTTCATTTTTTGGTTTTGGGTTGTGTGTGTTTGGGTAGGCTGTTGGCTAGTGTGCTCCACTCATTCTTACTAACTTTACTTTTGTTTAGACTTCTTAATGATGAAATCTATAGCATATTATTGCAAAAAAAGTGACCAAGGGTTAGAAAACTATATCCAGATCTCCCAAAACAGTACAAAAATCTCACAGAATCAACTAGTTAGTTCAAGAATCAGTTAGAAAACTATATTCAGATCTCCCAAAACCTTAACAGAAAATCTCACAAAAATTGGTTACTCAATATTCATAGGCAGGAAACAAAAGGAAGCACAAGCCAGGCAAGTGAGGGAACGTTAACATTAACTCATTAACTCTTCAGAGGTCCAGAGAAGAGAACGACATTCACAATGTCTGCATTTCTATGGGAAGGGGGCATCCAATTCCATCTAATTTGGCAATGCCTCACCTAGAAAACAAATAGTATGATGTGGAGATACAATCAGCCATTCCCAAATTATCTTTTCCACAAGTTTTGGTTGATAGGTCAGTGGATACTATGTTTAAATTTAATTGATCTTGTTTAGGGTTTACGGCAAATTTGAGCACCAATTAACAAATCAAAATTTGAACCAACAAGATTTTATAAAAGAGAGAGTGTTGCTAATAACAGATAGCCAATTACCTGGTCTACTCGTAGCACAGTACTGGCCGCATGAGTTGCGTACTTGAGAGCAAAATACCTGATAAACATGCAATATGTATACAGGTAAAATGATTAATCACTTGAAGATAGCAGCAACTCAACCTGCTTGATATAGTAGAAATTTTTAATATTTATTGCCCAAAAGAGGAATAGACTCTTTTACTAATTTACTATAAATCTGCAAACATATAGATTATATAAAACAATAGCTTGGATAACCCCTCAGCTAATTGACAATATCAGACACGCCCTCACGATTAAAATATTACATTAACCTCCCCTTATCAAATATAAATAAATCAAACACTAGCATAAATGTGTTATTACCGATTTTGACCTTGCACCTAGACTTTTTTTCCATTTCTCTGTCAATAATTTGTGGGCTTGAAAAGGATTAAACCAACATTATGCCCCTGTTTGGTACGGATTAAAATTCAGATTTTAATCAAAGTCAAAGTCGACAATTAATTACTCCACAATTTTTCAACCACATATTTCATTAACTTTAATCAAAATCCACTAAAAATCTTATTTTAATCCATACCAAACGGGGACTATATTGTGTATATTGTGTTAATGTATACTCTTTTTTGTAGGATGTTTCTTACATAGTTCTATCATATGTTCTCAAGGGCAATTTAGGTGAAAGTATTTTGTATTTAAATGATTTTACACTAACTGGTCTTGAGAAACGCGGGGTGAAGGGGGTCTCTTTGGTATTGTCTAAAATATATAAATTCGCTTTCTTTATCAATCAGCCACCATTATCTTACTAATGCATGTCATGTCAAACCTATGCATTTCAAAGTCCAAATTATTATTTACTTACAAAAGCAACTTACTTGGTTATGTAGAGATCCCATACATTCATTTTAGACACATCCTTGCATACACCTTCCTCCAAATCGATGCCCACTTTGGTGTTTCCAGATGCATTTTCAGCATATAAAGATGATATGATCTCCATTGCATTAAGCCCGGCATTCTCAGCCAAGGTTTTAGGTACCATTTCAAAACTTTCACCAAATTTAGCAATTGCATACTGATCTAGTCTGCCAGAGGATGAATTGATCTTTAGATTTGATGTGATAAAGCAGATATAATTCAACTAAACACAGCTGCTAGAAAGTCATAAATCATGCATTAAATGAATAAAATGTAGATTCTGCAAATCCAGAACATGAAAAAATTGCAAAACGCTCCAGGGTACAATGATTTGTAAGCCACAACAGTACACATGTAATATGCCCGAAGGTGTCCTGATTGGGAGTTGGGACTTGAACCGTGTACACCAGCATTCAGAAATACATGAGATATCATCCAAGTTAAACATTTCAACATTAGCTAGGGATGGTTAGGGAGTTGGCAAACATGGGTCACAAATGTAACAATTATATTTACATCTTCACTCGCTAAAAGCATATATCACAACCGTATTAACTCCACATGCTCAATAGACTAGGGTTGGCTTCATGAATCCTTGTCCACAACCCTGTCCGATTCAGCACTACAATTATTGAAAGGCACAAGAAATGAAACATTTGGCAATAACATATGGTCATATTAATTTTGAACTATCTCCCTTTCTAACGTGCACTAGGATAGCATCTCCCTTCTTCAAGTCTGTGCAAGACATGCCCCAACCATTTAAGCCATCTCACTCTAAATATATTCTCAATTGGCTAAAAGCATAGCTATGAGAAAGGCGATGTACACTTTTTATGTCACAAGTGCCAAACAAGCCATATGGCAGAAGACACAAGGTTGAGCACCAAAATATCATTAGCAAGCGATTCACGCTGCTTGATGACACTATAGAACATCACGTAAATATGAAATAAAATGCAAGAGGCACACAGAAAACACATTGTTTTGCTTATCAAATTCAAAATGCGATATGAGTTGAAGTTTAGTCTCAACCTAGAAATAAGTTGAATGAAAAATTGTCTAAGAAATACACCCATTTATAATGAAATGGCACAAATTGAAACCTCAGATAGAAAAGGGGTATGAGAGAACTCAAATAGGTGGAACAAAAAATAGTACCCAGTCTCTTTGAAAGAAAATTCCTTGAGCCTTCTGGCTAATTCAATTTCAGTAGCCGCAGCCCCAGGTATTGTCCTACTGTCCCTGCACATAGCCTAGACGGAAAAAATGTAATGAACTAAGGTAAATCCTTTGCTTGATCGGGGAATTTGACTAAACTTCAGCACTGGATAACGAACAAATGATAATCACCTGATTTTCAGTTATTTAAAAGAAAAAAAGGACCATCAGGAAATACATTACAGATTATACCTTGTATGTATTCACGCCATCATCTACTGCCCTTTCAAGATCATCCAGTATACTGTCAGTGCTTCCTCGCAGAACAATAGTGGAAACAGAATTTCCACCTTGTTCATTTTTTACAATTGTAACCTGTCAAATATCAAGGAAATCAAATATAAAAAATGGCTGAATCTATACATTTGAGAAATTAAAACAAATAATCATGTGTCAAACTTATATATTTGTACCCTAATCCCGCCTATTTCCTCCACCAAAATAGAATCAACATATCCGAGGTCATCTGAGTTGGGTTGACTGAGCTTTAACTGTTCTTGCATGAAAGAAGAATGTCATGCAAATGTAAAAATATAATGTACTTTAAAAGAAGCTAATATATAGTGCTTACAAGAGCAACAGCGCCAGTGGTGCGGCAAAACCGCCGCAGTTCGAATTTCGAGCTGATTTTTATCACCATAAGCCTGCAAAACAAAGTTTTGATATCCAATAATATCTTTTAAATAATTTCAATGAGCCTCAAACAGGACAACCGTGCATGAATCATTGATTTATTAATTGATAGGCAGGTAATAATACTTAGAATCATATGAGTACAGAGCCCAATGCAGAAATTCTGATTGACACGGATTCTCAAAACATGCAAATTAAAGGACACATCTGCAAACATACTTACAGCCAGGATAAATGAAATAAAGAAGGCATCGAACACTACCGCTCAGCTAGTCAATCACTTGTAATATCCATCAATGTTTTCAAATTGACCTGGGGCTCTTGGAATCTCTTGAGTTTTATTTTATTTTCTCTGGTTTTCCTTTTCTTTCAAAGTCAAAGCAATAAAATTCTTATATAATTTGGTTAGATATCTCATTTCTTTTAGACTACCAATTTTAATTCGATACTAGTGGTACTGTTTCGTGATTAATTTTAGACTTCATTAATATACATTCTCCACTTTTGTGATTCGCATATGTTTTTCGTTGCAACTTAGAATTTTAATTCTATTTAAATAAATCATAGATTCTTTTAGATGTTTTATGTTTTACTATGAATATAATTCTTTATTCTTAAGACTTTTTGAATTATTTTATTGGTTTATGTTGAAGCAAACGCCTCGCCTCACATAGGCAATACATCTCAACTTAGCCTTTTTTAAACACTGATCTCAATAGAAGTCCAAAGTTTCCCAATAATAAAAGCTTCAGTCATGTCCCATCACCCGAGCATCCCAAGAAATTCAATGATATAAGTTTGCAATTAAACAAAAGAACAGAAAAGGCAAGTAAGAAGGGAAACATACTGGTATAGACAGGATCTGATGAAATGATCACAACAAAATTCATATTTTAGAAATGTGTAAATACACCATAAATAGCTACATAATCTAGCATTTACATAAAGATGGACCGTCGAGAAATAAATAAAATGCTTCAGATCCATGTTAATGAAGAAAAAACGGACGATACAACATTATTATTCAATCAAGAATAGTCCTGGGGGGAAATAATCAAATATCAAGGTAGTGTAATAGAATAGAGAAAAAAGAGGTTATACTTGTAACGCTCACAAAAATGCAATGCCATCTCCCCAACAGCAGCTCCACTAACAATGACTTTAGCACCTGACTCAGCAACTGCCTTGATAAGCTCCTCAACTTTTGCTTCTTCAGTCTTAGCATAATTCTCAAGCTATTGCAGTTGCATAAAGACAAAGGTTACTAAATCTAAATATTGCAGTTGCATTAACTTCAAATTTAAATAATTTTGCTCACATGGAGACTTGAAATCAGCCACGTTAAGACTAGAAGTTATTAGTTTCACATTATATGTGGGGATAATCCCTTTCAAAATATCTCAAAATTTTTAAGTAACAAATTGTAATCACCAAAACAACCAAATCTAAGAGCCTTGTTACTACTTGATAAAATGGGATCATAAAATGGGCAATTCCAACAGAAGCTTGTTCTTAGAGGACATAAAAGTGGCTAAATTCTTACTGATAATCAAAGCTCGGTAAAAAGTGACTGCACAATGTAGAAATTTGCATTTTACAAATCACTAGTGTAACCAAAACAGTGAAGCGTATAAGACCTAGTAAACAGTAAGCAATAAGGTGTAAATATCTGCAACCAAATCTTAGAATATCTTGGAAATTCAGCATAAACTCTTAAAAACTAAAATGATCGATGCACTGGAAATCGATCTTGCACCCGTATTTAGTGTATTATAATTATAATAGTTCATAAGAACTATACAAGTATCAGACAATTAATCAGTAAACACTGTGTGATACCTGTTCAGCATTATGAATAAGAACAGTTCCTTTTGTTTCAGTTGCAGATGTATCAACACCCCCAACAAACACAGCAACCTGTAACCAGCAAATATTAGAGATAAAGAATCAGCTGCAATCCTGATTTTTCTTCTCAAGATTTATCATTCAACAAAATGGAAAACATTCCAGAAACAAGCACTATCCGCAATCCCTTAGAACTCCAATTTTATTTCAGAACTGATCTAACTTAAGACCTTTAAGATTGATCAATTTTGTAATATTTTGCTTCTTGCATCGTTGAGCAGTCTGATGGACCACCGAGTGATTGTACTAATTGCAGGTATGTCGCAAGTTCACTTCAGGCATACAGAAACTAGAGAAGTGCTGGGAGAGTCCAAGCCTCTCAAATGCCTTAGAATGTGTAATTCATTTCATTTCTGTTCTCACTTCTTCAATTCGGTACTCATATATACAAAATACAAATATACAGTTTATGTTCTTCAATTATTCAGTTTTATTACCACTAAATCAGGGGATTCTATCAGTCATGACTTCACAACACAACACATAATAGTGGAACAAGAATCCATATTTGTTCCTCATTGTTCTCCACGCCCTTCATGACACTGTAGGTGTAATTCTATACTCTGACATAGACAACTCAACAATCATCCACACATTGTCAACCCATAATAATTACAAATAAAAAGGCAAAATAATTTATAAATAGAAAGCCATGACTTCTTAACTTGAACACCATGACTTCTTAACTAGAACACCATGACTTCTTAATTAGAACACCAATGACTTCTTAACTAGGTGACTTCATAACTAAAAACCATGACTTCTAAATTAGAACACCCACTTCAGACTTCGCTACACGCATGGAGGAGATTATGATAACAATGTAACATAGCGAGCCACGAGAAAAAAAAGTAATTTCTTTTACAGAGATAAATAACATGCTTTACAAAAAAAGAACACGTGTATTCTCTTTTCGATATAAATAAGAAACAACTGAATTTTAGCACTCACCTTGGCCTTTTCCATTCTCTTTATAGTCCCAATAGCGTCATTCTTCAGTACCATGCCCCTAACTACTGTAGAATCATGCAGACCTCCACCCAATAGCTTTGCAACTCGAACATTATCCACATTGAAGTTTGCTGGGTTCTTGGGACAAACTTGAATACAAGCCTACACAAAAATAATGTTTGTATTCACCAATTCACATGGTAGATAACCCAATGTCAGAAATGGTAAATAGGTATTACCTCAGCAATGAGGGAGCACAATCTATCCTCCTGTCCAAACTGTTTGCTAGCAACCGCGGCTCTCATTCGTAAAATGACTTCATCTTTGTTTCTTACATTCATATTTTCAGATCCTTTCTCCACTAGGTCCTCTAATATCTCAACTGCCTGCAAGCATATAATATTATGACAACAAATAAATGAGAAGTGGAATGAATCAACATAGAAGTAGCTAACATCTTAATCAAAAAATTAATAACAATTACAAACCTTATTTATTGCTTTTGTGTACCCAGAAATAATCTCACTGGGATGAAGACCCATCCTGATTAGCTCCTCAGCATTTTGGAGAAGTTCACCAGCAAATGAAATGGTCAAGTTAGCACCATCTCCAATTTCCTCTTGCTGAGCTTTCCCAGCAAAAACTAAAAGTTTAGCCGCAGGATGCTGCACTTCGAGCTCATTCACAATTGTGGCAGCATCATTTGTGATAAAGAGCTTATCCAAATGATTGATGACCATCTTATTCATACCTGAAAAAATAAAATAGACAACATGAGAGGCAATCTCATAACATTATACAATGTTCAACGCAAGTAAAAAAGGCTGTCCAGCCAAAAGATCAAAAAGCCTATGAGATATCAAGCTAAACAAGTGATCGAGAAAAAATCCTTCTTTTTAAGGACAGTGGAGAGAAGATAGAACATCAATTGAAGATAAATAAGCCAAAGCGCAAATCTATTGTCTCATATATCGGGTACTCTTCACTTCATTGTCTCATATTATGGACAATGATTCTAATCTAGAAGAAAAAAAGAAAAGAAAAACATGGTGAGTTCTTGCAATGTCTTCCCATGCCCATAATTTTGCTAACTCCGCATTAATCTCCCACTAGGTGTAAAGGTACGGAGTAAGTAATTTTAATTGAGATTTAAATAAAAAATCCATTTAAGATTGAAAAGCAATCTTTTACAAACATCAAGACTAAAACCCACCTTCATAGCCATCCAAAAAAAAAACTAAAGCTTCCAACTTATCAATTCATACCCTTGAGATGGAAAACATAAAGGCAGGAATACAATCATCCCTCGTCAAATATAAAAAGATTGTGCTTCGGTAACTATGAAGAGCTCCAACCCGTGATTGGAAGGTGTATGAAACTCAAAAAATGAAGGGAAAGCAAGGAACTCTTATCAACTGATACGAACAGTAACAGTTGATATACTGTATCATTTCAGATCATAATAAAGGTGCTTCCTGTTTGAACTTGTTCACAAGGCATCCAAACATTTCCAAATCCAAACTGATCTTAAACAATTTTTCCATTTAGGTTTCTACATAATAAATCTGATAAATCCTCACCGTTGGGACCAAGGGAAGTGCGGGTGATGGTGGAGAGCTAAGAGCTGTTTGCAAGCATCGATGTTCTTTAGCACGGCTTCGTCGAGGCCGGAGAGGTGCCGGTGCCCTTCTTTCAGCATTCCCTGTATTCCATACGGCTGCATCGAGAACCCGACCATTTTTCCTGTTTAGAAGCAAGGAGAGAGTTATCAAATTCCTTCAGAAAACGGACAAGAAAAGGGAAACCAAAGAAAAAGCCCTAGAAGTGTAGAACCCTCGTTGTCTCTCCCTCTTTCTATTCTGCTTTTAGTAAACCCAAGAATTCGAAACAATCCTGTAATTCCTTCTACGTGTTATGTGAAAGGCCAGGGTGGCTTGGGAAAGAAGAAGCACGGGGTGAGCTAGAGAGAAGAGGAGAACCAGACTGAATGAAGAAGATGAAGTCCGATGCCATGGTTCACTTCGACCGTTTGATTTTATTTAGGAGTACTTACAAAAATACCCTTAAAATTATGGATGTTTTGAAAAATCATATAAAAAGTTTTTAGGAAGTAAAAAAAATACTGTGTAAAATGAAAAAGCGACACAATGTCACTTTCTTTATAAAAATTGTCACTTTTTTCTTTTTCAAAAAAAAGTGACGCAAACTCAAAAAAAATGACAAATATCAAAATAGCACCATCCATTTGTGCAGCACCAGTAATCATGTTCTTAAAATAATCACCACATTCAGGTCAATCCACATGCTGATTATGTTAGGAAAATATAACAAATTATTTCATTTTTATCTTCTTAAAAAGTGACAAAAACTTAAAAGGTGACAAAAAATTAAAAAAAGTGACAAAATTCAAAAAGTGACAAATTTTAAAAAGGTGACGAATTCAAAGTTATAGAGATTAAAAAAATGACAGACAATAAAAAAAGTGGCAATTCAAAAAAAAGTGACGAAATTTTTTTTTAAAAAAAGTGACAAATTTAAAAAAAATGACAATCTTTTGACGAAATTCACGGACAACATCAAGAGCTTTAATCACTTGCAACATCAAGTTCAAATAATAACAGGTAAAGGGGCAAAATCAAATCCGGTTGTTGGAGCTTCAATTGATGCAATTTGATGATTACCCGTGGCCTTTACATTGTCAATTAAGTTTTGGTTGATCGAATTGAAGAGTTGGACCAGCAAAGATTCATCAAATTGGTTAGTTCCAAATCTAAATTCTTAGCTGAAATTGTAATACACATATAAGCCAAACATGAGCTACTGTCTTCCTTCGTAAATTCATAGCGCGACGCCGCCACCATTGAAATTAGTAGAATCAATTAATTAAAGAAAAACAAAGACTTGGATATGATCATTCAAGTTATTCTTAAAAGGAAAAAGATTCAAACAAGGAAAAAAAAGCAACGTACCCGAATACAGGCTTCTCGTCCCAAATATTGTTGGAAAAAACACTTTATATATGAAGAATTTTTTCATAGATTTTGCATGCAAGTATATATGGCTGGGCAACGGGTCGGGCCGACCCAACCCGACCCGACCCGACCCGAATTTAATGGTTTTAAGCTATTTTATAACCGACCCGGCCCGATCGTTCGCAGGAACCGGCCCGAACCTCGTCAGCTATTTTTTTTTTTTTTAATTTTTTCGATTAAGTTCAAACTGCCAAATTAATCCTTATTTGCCTGAAAAAAAATCAGAAAAAGTTTAATATTTTTTTTCTTCATGTTGATGATAGTTTGTCATTTTTATAAATCGTGATATCGTAAAAAATTTAATTGAAACAAGATAATTTAATTAAATTAAAAAAACACTAATTAAACTAAACAAAATCAAAATAGCCATCAAGCATGAAAAAAAGTTCAATAAAGAATATCAAAAGTATTAATATTAAAAATTCAATGTACCATATTTGTTTCCATTAACTTTCCACCAATTAAGAATATTAAAAGTATCGTCCTCAATATCTTCACAAGCATCTAACAAATATCTATCCACATCATTTTTCAATTCAATTAAGTCTTTTGCTACTTGTGATCTCTTAAACCTAGAAAGACGAGAAAGAGACACACTTGAGTGGGACTTTCTTTTGCAGAAGAAACCTCACTTGAAAAATTCAAGTCACTAGATACTTTATTGCTTTCAAAGCTTACTTCACATCTCACATACCAATCATAAATAGAAATTAAATTGTCTTTCAAAATCTTTGTCATATAATCCTTCAACCCCTCACACACAATCAAATTAACAATATGCGCACAACACCTCACGTGCAGGTACTTTCCATCTAAAACACACCCATCACCACTTCTACCAATCATCTTTCTCTTAATATAAGAAATAGCTGTTTCATTTGTAGTTGCATTGTCAACTGTGATTGTAAACAATCTTTCAATGCCCCATACACGCAAACAAGTCTCAATAGCTTTACCAATAGTTTCACCCTTATGATTAGCAATCACACAGAAGCCCAAAATCAATTTATGAAGCTTCCAATCAGAATCAACAGTGTGCTGTGAGAGACATATAATTAATATTTTGAATGGAACTCCAAGTATCAGTAGTAAGAGAAACTCTTTGACGTTGGATCATTTTTTTCAATTGCAACTTTTGATCCAAATACAATTGATAAATATCTCTAACAACAGTTCTACGAGATGGAGGATCAAATTTAGGACATGCTACCCTACAAAATTCTCTAACCCCCACAAGCATAATCTTGCCCACAATAGTTGCATGCACACCTAACATCTTTTGCGTTTGGATTTCCTAAAACTGTGAAGTGTTCCCACACATCCGAAGATTTTCTATTTTTTCTCTTCCCTAAACATGATGGTGGAAGTGAAGGAACAGACGTTGAAGGAGTTTCACCAGTAGCTTCAATTTCACTATCTATATCCATGTTCATATCTATACAAATCAAACAAAATAAGAGAGTAATAATCTATACTAAAGAACACAAAGATTGCCAACAAACAAGCAATAAAATCAAAAGAATGTATAATCACTTATAAACTTAGCCAAACATGTAGAATCCATTGATTAATTTTCTTCAGATTTTCATATCAAACACAGAAATTTCTAGTTCCAATTTTAGTAGCATTTAACGCCATTTGGTGTTGAAGAGAGCTCTTTCGAGTTCTTCAATCCCCCAACTCCAAACGGATCCACTTGAAACTGTTCTTGAAAACCAAAGAAACCCTGATTCTGGTTCAAGCCCATATGTCCAACATTCCCATTCACAGTCCCAAACCCACCCAGCTTTGCAAACTGCATAGGAACAGAATTAGGATTCATCACAGCAAGATTAGGAAGAGAAGCTGGATTCAGATTTTCAATAAAATTGGTTAATAGCCCATCCAATAAAATTGGTTAATAGCCCAGCTTTCTGCAATAAAATTTTCATTAATAGCCCATCCATTTTCTGTACTAAATATTTTACTGAAGATTTCGATTATAAGAAACCAGGTTTACGAAACCAGTGAATTGCCTATCCCAATAAAAATAAAAATTCAAAAAAAAAACTGCAAATATCATGATTTTAAGCATAACCCATTATTTTTCTACAATATTACTAAATAATTTGAATAATAATGTGGGCAAAACCTAAAATATTACCAGAAAATGAAGAAGTCGAAGAGAGAGAAAGACAAGAAAAAGACAGTGACACCACCGAAGCTGAAGATGTTGAGTCACGGAAAACGAATCCCAAACGCCTAGAAACACCTGTAGATTCATCAAAGGAGAAAAGGAAGTTTCAGCACAAGAAATCAAAGAAGAGAGGAGTAAATCGAGCCAAACACCACCGAAGCTGAAGGAAGTTTCTTGCACCTTAATACTTTGTATACTCGAAAACAGAGAGTTAGAGGCTGAGGCGCTGGCCGGGGTTTTGACTTGTGAAGGAGGGAAGGGGTAGGGTTTTTAACACTGCTTTGGGTCGGTTTAACTGGGTTTAAACTGAACCAGCTCAAATAATTTTATACTAATAGGAGGTGCAAGCAACGTACAATGCACGTTTGTTTAGTTTAAATTTAATATTTTTATTTAATAATTAATTTATTATTAATAAACATGTAATTTTTTTTTTGTTAATTAAGGGCGTGTCTAG